GTGAAAGGAGTTTGTGAATCCGCCTGCAAAAGCCGAATCATCAAAAGAAGCCGCACCCCCTGATTTCAACACGTTCTGGGTGAAAATCCAAAAAGTACAGTATGCATACTGTTGAAGCTGTGAAAACCAACTGTGGACTACAGAGGTCGCAGTACAGAGCAGCAGGTCATAGGATCCTTGACGGTTCTGGATAGGAAAGCATTAAAATAAAGACGAGTTTACCTCGAGGCTGGCGCGGCATCGTATAACCAGGTGAAGGACGAAAACATTCATGCGCGCATGACATCACTCGAAAAGGCAATCGAGAGACCGATCGTGTGTACATGTTTGTATGCGTCTAGCTATCTGCCTCTTTCTCGCTCTCTCTCTCTCTCTGTCTCTGTCTCTCTCTCTCTCTCTCTCTCTCTCTCTCTCTCTCTCTCTCTATATATATATATATATACACATACAGACATATCAAAGACGCGCAGGGCGAGAGGAACCGATTTGCAAAATTGTCGGCGCTGTATCAGGTCTTCAAGGCTATGCTTACATGCGTAATCTTCACTTCCCAAGATTGGAAGCTCAAATGCGAGCACAACCTAAACCCGAAGCCTCATTATGTTCGACACTTCGGGTAGCTGCAGGCCTTATGTATAGTGCAGAGAATGTCTGAAACCCCTTCGCCGGGCCCCCCTAACATTCCTCAGAACCGACCAGCAAGTCTGCAGCAACAGGAACACCACTCCAAGGCTACCCCCCCCTCCTGAACAAAAATACAGTGACTCCGAATATGGCCATCATTATGATGCTGAGAGCAGTCATACTCGCAAAAACATACTCGACGTCAAAGGTGTACGGACGTCACTGAAACAAATTTACCACTATACATGATAGTTGTCGTCATTGCAATCGGAAACACTACTCCCGTCAGCGTCAAATGAAGGCTGATGCAACTGTGACACACACACACATATTCTTAAAGCCCTAAACCCCGAAGCCTTAAGCCCAGACAACATGCCAGGAAGCCGTTCCCAGCCATTGAACGGAGCTATGGGATTCGTCGCAGGAGTAAACTGCGTGAGCGACCAATGCATGGCAGCAACGTACGCATCCTGAAGACACGGAGACGCAGGCTGATGAATCCAGTATGCGCTCGTTTAAGTGCAGTTCCTCTGCTTGGTTAAGCAACTGCTTGTTGTAGGATCCTAGCTTGTATATAAGACAGGTATCAACCCCAAGAAGGCATTGCGTCAGAAGGCGCAGAACGTTCATGTATGAAACCGGGTCGAGGACGAAAGGCATTTTTAGTGGCAGTGGTGTCACCCGTGATGGCATCACGCCCCAGTCCCACGGTGGGACGTTATGTACTGAAGATGCGATTGTTGTGCCCAGGTCGGAGCCACAAACGAAGCCAGAGCCGTGAAGCACAAGCAAGAAGAAACAGTATTGGGACTTGAGGCACACCCCTACAAATTGCAAACCTGGCCGGTATGACGAGGCTTAAGAAAGATAGAAAAGACCATGGATACTGGGTCCTAGGTACAAACATACATATACCAGCTATATGAAAGTCACAGGCTGTTTAGCAAGTCTACACGCGCGGCGGAAGAAACACGATTGCAAAGCCTCTGAACGAAACCCAGGAAGCCCCTGCCCATAATTCCATCTGCCCACCGGCGTGGAGTCCGCGTTGATGCTGGCACGCTCGAGCCAGTTGCCCAAGTCGCCTTCCGATCACTTCCAGTTCCGAACAGTATGCGATGGGATCTTAAAAGCCACATGCAGCCCCTGCACATACCCGCTTCAAGGTACGTACCGCCCCTACAAGGGCGCAGGTCTGTATGTCCTATAAAACTTGTTGCAGAGTGCGGATGTCAGCTTACTGTCATCCTGAACCCTTAGCAGCAAACTCCAATGCTCGTTGCTACACTCATGAACCCCAGACCCAGAAAGCCAAGATCAAAACAAGGAATGCACAGTCCTACCAGCCCAAGCTAGCTGCCTACACCAAGACCTGGGAATGAGAACTTAGTGGTACTTTATTTCCCCTACACCTTAAACGCCAAACCCTCGCACCGAGCTGAAAATCTGCAAACCATAAAGCAACGCTGTCATGCACTGAACTCCCCAGGAAGGACTTTTAGGCTAGTTCGGATTTCCATTTCTGATCCTCCCTGTGCGTACCGCAACCTTGAGGCCTGACTGCAATCCTAAAAACCCCTAGGCCCCTAACCCTAAACCCTACGCCCCCGAACCCTAAACCCCTAAACCCCCAAAAGCCTAAACCACTAAACCTCCAAAACCTAAACCCTAAACCCCCGAACCCTAAACACCTGAACCCCTGAACCCAAAACCAATTGCTCATCAATAAGATTCTTGTCCAGTAACCTCTAAATTAAAGCCTAAACCTTAAACCCCTATCAATTGCTCATCAAGATTCTTGTCCAGTAGGCCACGCCATACCATCCACAGGCGATAAGGTGGTTGATGGCCAGCATGACCTCAAAAGGAGGGACCCTTAATAAGGACCCCTAGGTATATACCCTTTATATAGCCCATTATAGGTAGTGGTCCCCATTAAGCCTAGGCATGACTTGCCTTGGAGGGTCGGTGGACTTAGTAACTGGTTATTTGAAGGACTTATAAGTACCATACCCCCCAATTAGGGTCCCTTTTAGGGTACTTAGAAGTCTACTTACTAACTACTTGCTAAGTCCCCCGACCCCCCCAAGCAGGGCGAGTGCTCAAAGCGCTGTATCAAGGGAAATTCCTACGTACCCGAAGGGTCCAAAGGACCCAAGAATTAGGTACGTGGGTTTAGGATAGTAGTTATGTGGCTCAATATTTAAGAGATTATTAGGTGCTTGGACCCTTAGGGTTAGGGTTTAGGGGCTTAAGGTTGAGGGTTTATGGGTTTAGGGTGCTTGGGTCTAGGGCTTACTCGCATAGGCGCCATCGTAGTTCCTTTCTGGGATTTCTTTATTTGATCCTACATATGAACCGCAAAAAGCGACCACAATGAGCCTATGGGTTAGAGCTTATGGTTTTTGGTAGTTTAGGGCTCTGATGGCGATTGAAGGTGTAAGGGCCAAGCAGGCAGATTGAGGCGTTTCTGAAACGCTCGGGATGATCCAAACTAAAGACTCCTCCCCTCAAGGCTTCAGAAGAAGACCCCACGGCACGACCTCCAACAAAGGATCCCTGCACTAAACCAGAACTCAGGGTTTGAAGTTGAAGAGAATCTGGAATCCGGGATCCAGTCAGCGAATCCAGTGAGCAAGGGCCACTACTAGGTACGTTTTAGCTTGTGGATGCTACTCCAGGTAGGGCGGGCTCTGAAATGAGATTCCCTGCATCCCTGTGGGTGTCGGGTGGGGTGGCTCGTGGGTAACTACCAGGTAGGGGTGACTCTGCTTCTTCTTTTGTCTGCAAGGGGGAAGGGGGATGAATCGATTATAGCAGAAGGACATACGAATACAAGAGGAGGACTAGTACCAAGTACTCAGACACATTGTCTATCTCAAGCGCACAAATGCGAAACCAAGGCTGAGGAGGATACAAAATCACCCTAATCCCGCCTTCTAGGCTTGGGTTTTTGAGTTTGGGGATTAGGGTTGGGGGTTTGAGCTGCACGTGCAGAGTGCTTCATTGCGAATGTCCACCGGCCAGAAATCCTAAACTCATCTACACACTCTAGACCATAACACATGTTTCAGAGTCAGGGCATATTCGGCAATACGAGGAATTCACTGCTGTAGTGCTGGATGGCCGCCCCAATCGAGTCTCGCTAACTCAAAATACCTCCGAACCATGTACTTGATGCCTGGCCTGAAACAGACTTACATTAACACCACGAGCCTTCAACCCCGCGTGCCTTTACGCACGATTGTCCCCTTAATTCTGCTTTTACGTCTTATGTATAAATACAGTGGTGTTTAATATGTGCATATCCGGATTCATAGGTACACGTATAAATATATAAATATATAAATATAAATATATATATATATGTATGTATAAGGCTATATCTAGGTATGAATCCAGATATAGAAGATCTAGTTATAGACATAGACATAGTTGTAGATATAGGTGGAAATGCAGATATCGATAAATATATAAAGATACCGATAAATACATAGATATAGATCCTGATATAAATAGATGCGTGTGTGTGTCTGTGTGTGTGCGTGTGTGTGTGTGTGTGGGTGCGTGCGTGCGTGCATGCGTGCGTGCGTGCGTGCGTGCATGCGTGCGTGCATGCGTGCGTGCGTGCGTGCGTGCATGCGTGCGTGCGTGCGTGCGTGCGTGCGTGCGTGCGTGCGTGCGTGCGTGCGTGCGTGCGTGCGTGCGTGCGTGCGTGCGGGCGTGCGTGCGTGCGTGCGTGCGTGCGTGCGTGCGTGCGTGCGTGCGTGCGTGCGTGCGTGCGTGCGTGCGTGCGTGCGTGCGTGCGTGCGTGCGTGCGTGCGTGCGTGCGTGCGTGCGTGCGTGCGTGCGTGCGTGCGTGCGTGCGTGCGTGCGTGCGTGCGTGCGTGGGTGTGTGTGTGTGTGTGTGTGTGTGTGTTTGGAAGTATGCATGTGCGTGTATACTGTCTATGTAAATGTAGAGGTAGCTGTATATGTGTATGTGTATACATGTGTGTGCGTGTGTGTGTGTGTGTGTGCATGCATGCATGCATGAATGTGTTTGAGTGTATTGTATGTACAAATTTGATCATACATATATATATATATATATATATGTATATGCCTGTGTGTACAGCGAGAGAGAGTGAGAGAGAGAGAGAGAGACAGATGGATAGATTGATTGATAGAAAGAGAGAGAGAGAGAGAGAGAGAGAGAGAGAGAGAGAGAGAGAGAGAGAGAGAGAGACCTGTAATGACGATGAGTTACCGCATATCGGCAGGAGAACGAGAGGCCTAATTATGAAGACTAGGACTAGCCAGAACAAGCTAAACCAGATGGGCAGCAACAGTTGTAGTGCGCTCAAGCACACGCTCGGTAGCCAATCGAGGAAACATGGCAATCATACGAACACGCTTCACGTTCATAACCACTATTCAGTGCAAGGCGCAGCAAGATAGCCGCACACCTTCAGCGCCATCCTTGATACCGGGCTGAAGATATCCCGTCGTTACGGCTGAATGCTTAGGGATTGCATCCACGAGCTGCTTTCGGGCCCACAAGCCAGTCCCTACGATGCTGCTGAGCTAGTTCGAGGCTTCTTGGGACATGCTTGAAAGGGCTTTGTGTTCAAATGTATCAACTCCTTGTACGAAGTCGTAACCCTAAACCCTAAACCCCTAAACCCTAAACCCTACGAAGTCGCATTGTGGCTGGGCCAGCCTCAGGTCCGAGGCCAAGAAGGCACTGCATTTAGGGTTTGCAGGGCTTCTGGGTCTAGGATCGTCGTGAAAGCCCTCGTGGAGAATTTAAGGATGAAGATCCGAAGCCGCAATGCCCGGCGAAGGGGAGAGTCGGCTCAGGTTTTAAGATATGAAAGCAGGGCTCGGACGAGGCTTCTTGATGCCTGGGCCGAGGGTTTACAAGCCTTAGGGCTATCTTCCCAAATCCACACAACTAGCCTCTGTCTCCGACGTGGGACAACCAGCCTCCCCCCAAAAAAAAAACAAAATAAAAATAAAACAAAATAAAAATAAAACAAAATAAAAATAAAACAAAATAAAAATAAAACAAAATAAAAATAAAACAAAATAAAAATAATACAAAACCACACACACAACAGCTAAAGTCAACGCTGCCGTAGACGACAGAGGACAGAGCAGCTTTCTTCTAAGCCCGGTTGACAGTTCAAATCCCTACACCCAAAATCGCACCTAAACACCTGAACGCTAAATGCCAACACCCTAGAAGCTCTAATCCCTAAAACCTGCCAGCAACGTCATGAGCCTTCAAGCCACACCTTAGCAAGAGTTGCTCTGCTTTGGAATGAAGTGCCCATCGCAGAACCTTCTGTACCGCAAATCTAGGACAACTACATACCTATAGTCTCTATTGTAGTTCCTTTTTTGGTTAACCAAAAACTATATTATAGGATCCTAACCATAAAACTTGTTAAACCCTAAACCCTAAACCCTAAACCGAGAAAAGGAACTGCAATGGAGACTATAGGTAGTTGATTTGTCATCTCAGCCCATGGCCCGAAGCCCTGCAAACTAAGGGCCCAATGACCATCTCAGGGTTTAGGGTTTAGGGTTTTAGGGTTTAGGGTTTAGGGTTTTAGGGTTTTAGGGTTTAGGGTTTAGGGTTTAGGGTTTAGGGTTTAGGGTCATGTATCTTCCCCCGAATACTAACCCACACTACTACTGCCCTTAACAAGCAATACCTAGCTACTTGTTTCGGCTTATAGGAAGCCTTGAAGGAAACCTCAAACCCAGAGACGCCAATACCCCTGAATTAAGGAATATATACCTTACATCATATTAGGGACCCTACTGTACTTCAAGGTATATTCCTTAATTAAGGGGTATTGGAATCTCTGGGAAGGAACCCTTACAGGAACCGCGCAAGGAACCCTTGAAGGAACCCAGAACCTTCCAAAGACGAGGAGCAAAGAGTAGGTCGACAGGAGGCGGTTGGCAACGAAGGACACCTTGCGCTCCAACCTCGCTCTTGCTAAGGGTCGTATAGGGCTTCTGGGTTTAGGACTCTAGGGCTAGGGTTTCGGGTTTCAGCATTTTCGGGCTTTAGGGCTTTAGGGTTTCGGGCCTTAGGGTTTAGAGCTTTCCGCTTTGGGGCATTAGGATTTTGGGCCTTCGGGTTTGGGGCTATATTGGGCTTAGGGCTTCGGGTTTCACGTTTCACAGGGTTTGTAGCCTTCATGGTATATGCGTCTTTTCTATGGGCTTGCAGAGATTTTGCTAGGGCTTCGTCGGATGTATAAGGTCGTATTGGATTCAAGGGGTTCGTTAAGGAACATCTGTTCAATAAGTACCATAGCAGGGCTATATGATATGTCAAAAGGAAGTACCAAGCTTTCCGAATTCTGGCCGCTTATACTAAGTTCCTTGCTTGGCTGAATTTGTAGAAAGAAGGATCTTCGACTTTTAAGCTTTGGGTTTAGAGGCTTGTAGGGTTTCGGGTTGAGGGTCTTGGGTTCAGCGGTTTGGGGCTTATTAGTTTCGGGATTCTTAGGTCAGGGGTTCAGGGCTGAAGAGCTTTCAGCATAGGGCGTCGTTGAGAATGAAGGCCCAACTGTGGTAGGGGGGTTGGGCTTGTAAAAAGTGTTGACCTCAAGTGGCGTCCTCTAGTCTGAAAATCTTGTGTGTATCTTGCGTGTCCGAAATACTTAGCAACACAAGCCCGAGGCATACTGGCTACTGGCCACAAGCCCATACCAAATACGCAGTTGCACTTGGGAGGTCAACAGTCCTAAACCCCAAACCCTAACAAACCACGCACCATCAAAACTCGGCCAGGTGGCTTTGCTACACGAATCAGCCGCACTAAGCGGATGATCCGCAAGCTGCGAAGGAAACGGCCAGAGCGAAAAACTGGATTCCTGAGCTTCTGCATGTAATTATCCTTCAGGGTCCATGTACCTAAATAGTATATACTTTGGCCCCAAAGTACGCATATAGGGACTACTTTAAGGCCAAAGTAAATCCTATTTGGGCACATGGGCCCTTAGGGTATGTGTCATGCGCGATTCCATCAGCCTTTTCCCGCGTACACACATCTATAGATACAACTGAGATCACATGTTGAGATATGCAAATGTATGCGAATGTACATATATATATATATATACATACACGTGCACATATATATATATATATATATATGTGTATACATAAGGGGTCGGCTTTCCCCTGCACCATCCTTTTTCGGCCTGTATCACCAGTTTTGCGAATGCTCCGCGTGATTCCGAAGGTTTGTGGAGGCTTCTGCAAGGTGAGCTAGTTAACCAGTGCAAGCCTGTGACTGTGAGTGACCACATTGGACTTGGCTGCGCATGCGACAGAACCAGCATCACTGGAAGCAAACCTCCCAAAACAAAAACCGAAACAAACATGACCAAACAACCAACAAAAGCAAGCCAACCGCTAATGAACAGCAAACACGCGCAAACAAAAACCTGGAACTTCTCGGCTTTACCGGAGTATGTCGGCAGTTACAGACTGTCACGTGGTTGTTTAGGATGTTTTGTTGGGGTTTATTCGTATCTTTCCATGCTTCTTGATTTCGACCCTTCTGTTGTAGTATTCGTAAGAGGGCTGCGGTTGAAGAGGAGAAGGTTTTAGGTTTCCTGGGAGCCTTCGGGAACCTTTGCGAAGCACCCAAAGACTCCAAATCCAATTAATTAACGAATAGACCGGGGTTTGGGAGTCTCTGGGTTAATTAGGGAGTACTTGGGAGCACCAGGGATCGTTCGGGGTCAGAATCTTGAGCAGTTCTTGATAACGCCCTGCTTTGCCTGACTAAGGTATATAGTCAGGTGTTTGTCTCAATATACAAACGAGTATTCAAGTTGACTCATTTACACGAGTATTCAAGTTGACTGAATTCCACAACGTTCGCAAACTGCTTGGTTTCATAAAACTCAGCGATTGAACGAACCTTTTTGGCTGCCATTCTACCCTGTTACAGATACCCCACAACCCAAGTAGGACCCACTGTTAGTCAGGATGTAGTTCTGTACTGCTTTACTCTGACTCATTTCAAGACGCACAGCTTTCAACATGATCAAAAGCCCAGAGGGTCCAAGTACTCCCTATTATAGGACTTTAAGGCTTTTTTATGTACCAAAAACCATAAATAAGGACTACTTGGACCCGTAGGGAAGGAAATGCGGCAAGTAAAACACGTGAGCATTTGTTTGATGTGCAGGTGACTTGCACTGTGCAAGCAATGTACTTCGAAGTGTCACCCAAACCCCGAGACCCCAAACCCTTCAGGGGTAGATTTCCGCGATTGCTGACGCCCGAAGGATCGAATCCCTGCTGATCAGGAAGCCTTGGAATAACTACTCGGGCCGAAATACCTAGACTAGCGCTTCAATTTTAGGTAGGGACCCTAAAACCTAAACGTTTTAGGCACAATAGGCACTACCCCTATAACAATGACCCAAGCTTTGCCATCGACCGGACTGCAATGTAAACCCCGCGACTAATACCCGGCACTCCTTCTATAAGGACTGTAGCAGGAATCCGAGTACTTGAAAGGGGCCCTAAGCCCTGAACCCCAAACCGGGTTTGGTATCAGGATTGTGGCAGGAATCCGAGTACTAGAAAGAAGCCCTGAAGCTTAAACCCTGAACCCTAAACCCCTAGACCCTAAACCCTAAACCCTGAACCGGGCTTGGCATGAGGGTCTACAGTAGACTGCGGGACAAAACGACTATGCCGAGTGGCGGGTCGGCATAGTAGATGAACCTGGTTAGGGTTTAGGGTTTGAGGGTTTGGGGGTTTAGGGTTTAGGGGTTTAGGGGTTTGGGGTTTAGGGGTTTAGGGATTAGGGTTTAGGTCGGTGCAAGCCCCACAGTCGCAAAAAACAGAGTTCCAATAGCCCCCCCCCCCCCCCCCCCCCGAATTAGACTAAGTCTGTAGCAGAGAATAGCACGGAACCCTAAACCCTCCCTCCCAGAGTTTGGCTTTCAAGCCATGGGGGCTGACATGCAGGCCACCTTGTGCTTGAAGAGGTTTGGGCTGGAGTTCGGGTTTCGGGATTTAGGGTTTTATTTGGGGGGTCAGGGGACTTAGTAAGTAGATAGTAAGTAGACTCATAAGTACCCTAGACGGGACCCTGATTGGGGTTATGGTACTTACAAGTCCCTAAAATCACCAGTTACTAAGTCCCCCGACCCTCCAAGTAGGGTGTAAGGAATCAGTCTCGGGTTGCTTGGGTTTGGGGTTCATCACCTTGGGCCGGCTATATCCATCTACATACACACATACACTATACATACGCCTCGATATCATGTAGGTCTGTGTGTCTGTGTGTATATATATATATATATATCTCTCTCTCTCTCTCTCTCACTAAACTCACTAGGTCAATGTATACACCCGTGCTAACAACTCCGGGTAGAACTCATGTTAGCATGGTAGACCCCTGAATATCTGACTGGTCAACTAAGGTCTTTTGCCGCTCCAACTACGAGTACTCGAAACGTCCGGAGGCAGGCACGTGTGAGGGGCTTCGTATACGACATCATCCAAAACTGAAACCCCGAAACCCTACACCCTCCAAGGGCCGTCCGAGCAACTTCAAGGTGAGCACCACAGTATCCACGAAGATGATCATCATGTCCACTGCAAACCAGGACTGCAGGTAAAGCCTGGGTAAGATGCAAAAACACGTCCCTGAGAGTCCAGTTACCCGGACTCGACGCAGCCTCGGGGGTGTGGTGTGGGTGGGGGGGTGGGGCTTTCGCAGCATTCCTAAGACGTAAGATCATGCAACTCTTGTAAAGCCAGACATGCTCCGCCGAGTTTCTTGAAGAGCTTCTTCGGCCGCATTTCCTGCAGGGAAGTCTAGAAACGAAGATGTCTTCATCCCCAGTCTCTACAGCTGCCTGAGGAACCACATTTTCTGTCCAATCTTCCGTCCGGACACCAGCTAACACAGGCTTCGACAAAGCAGAACGACTTAGAGATTAGTTGCATTCAGGATCCTAGTATTTGGAATCTAATATTGCGGCCTCATCCTTTTTCAGGTGGCCCGAACATGGGAGTTCAGAACAGACTGCACCCCAATGTATGCTCATCTCAGTAAGGTCTTTGAACTCAATGACCCCTGGATGAGATATCCCTACAAGCTCAAGCAAGGGCAAGGTCACTGAATAGTTCAAGACTCCGTGACTCCAGCCATTTGGACACCGAAGACCAAGTGCAAGGGAACATCGAGCATCCAGAAGACCAAGGAAGCCTGGATTTAGGGTTTAAGGTTCAGGATTAAACAGTGAGGGTCCATGTACCCAAATAGTATATACCCTGGGCCCAATGCACCTATGCAGGCAATACTTGAATGGCCAATGTATATACTATATGAACACATGGACCCTTCGGATTTGAGGTGAGCGAAGATTTCGTGGATATGGATTTTATGATTTAGGAAGTCTGGGGCTAGGGCAGCATCAATTTCGATTTGTGCTTGTGTTCGTGTAGGAGGGATAGGGTCATGGGCCTAGGCAGACGAAGGTTGAGGGTATACAAGAGGAGCTTAGGCTCATGGGTTTACAGCTTGGGGCCTGCGTCTAGGGAGTTTACATCTGTGACTACGCCACTTAAAAGCAAGCCTTGGCTGCCGCTGCTGGGCTGTTAGCATGCAGCTGTGCTTTCAGGACCATAGGGTGGTTCCTGCTTTTGCATCAATCACGTAGTTCATCCATCCCGAACCCTCAAATACAGGTATCTTTTCGAGATTCAAGGGTTGCGGCTCTTGGTTCGTGGCCTGCCACACACAGAGAGACACACTCCACAAACAAAGAACTCATGAACCCTGAACCTAAGCCTAAACCCCTATGAGAACGAATAGCAACTTCAGACGGATTACTACCAAGCTTCATGCAGAGTGTTTTTTACATGGAGTCTCAACGTTCTTGGCAGGGTTCTGCAAGGTGTCCGCGAGGGCTCCTGCTAGATTACAGCGTATTATTTCTATGCCGACTTCGAAATGCTTGCTATCTGTTGAGCCGTAAAAAAAGTCAAGCAGGAGAGCCAATGCAGGATTGAACGGTTTTCTGGCAGGATTGAACGGTTTTCTGGCACTTGTTCGTCCTAGCGCAACCCCGGAACCACAAACCTAATCGCCCTATAAACCAGTATCCATGCAAGGATCTTGGGACCTGTAAGGCTTTTAGACCTCCGATCACCCGAGGCAAAGGGCCAACGCGACGTTGTCCACATGCCCTGCAAACTCCGTCAAGGGGAAGAACTCCAGAGGAATCGTGATCATGTCCCATACCTTCCCGGGTCTACCCTGCCTAGAGCAACCAAGGTACCTTAAACAATCAAAATGTACCAATTGTTCAGGGCCACATCCTTTTGCAAAAAGTACATATAAGTCAACCCAAAACTACCCATCGCCTCCATAGTAGTTCCGGTTTGGGACTCCTTTATAGGATTCTTGAACCCCCAAAAAGGAAGTAAAAGGAAGTACTATGGAGCCTCTAGGTAGACCATAAATCTGCGCCCTTTGTTGTATAGTGGGTAGCATTATCCAGCAAAAGTGTAATGTGTATCCACTCAGATAAGTAGGGCTAGGGGTACCCAGTTTGGCTTGGAGGGTTGCGGAAATCCGAATCTGGTTCTACACCAAAGACGCCCCTAAGTTCGCTAAACCCTATAAACCCTACACATTCGGGGTCCTGTCTGATAAAGGCCGGCTAGGATCCCAGATAGGGAGAAGAAGAACTCTTCTTGGGTGTTCCAACAAGCCGTCCAAAAGCAACACTGTCTACTAAGGCTTACAGAAAGGGTTTGCAATTCCGCCGGAAGTCGGAAGCTTTGCTTTCGTGATGAGGCTTTGAGTTTGAGGTTTATGCTTCAGGGTTTATCGCGAACCCCAAGCCCACAGCAGGAAGGCAGTCGAACCGAATCCACCGGCGATCTCGAACAATCACACCGATTCCTACCGTGAGCTTCATTGGCAAAAACAGCGGCAGCAGTGCAAGACAAACCGCAAAGCATACATCCTACATCCTGGATTTGATCGGCTCGAACCCAAAAGACGTGACACACTAACATTCAGCTCCTCGGACTTAAGACGTCCAAGTCTCGATGAGAACCGTGGCGGCAAGAGCCCATCCCAGCTGTATCCGACTTTCCGGACTCAAGACAAATCGCTGCAAGCAGGACCTGGCTTTGTTGGGTCTTAGCCTGTCGTCGGGTAAGCGAGGGGCCTCAGTAATTAGAATAGGGTTTTGGGCCCATTTACAGGATAACCATAATAAGAAGCACAAGGAATAATCCAGATAATTATTTAGGCCCCTGTAGTACAGCTTTTCACGCGCCGGAGGAGATCCAGGTTCCAAGATTGAATCACACGTTGCACCTTTATGCTTGATTACGGGTGCTGCTTCACCCAGGGCTCCTAAAAACGATGTCCATGGCGCTGATCCTCGTATGTATGAATACACACATGCGAACGCCGATTTCTCTGAATGAAGTGTGTGCGTCTGTATGTCTGCATGTCTGTACGTATGAATGAATGTATGCATGTAACTACGCATCTAGGTTTCTGAGGCATGTGACTTCTACGATTGGATCCCCTTGGCTTACAAGATCTTGATATGTCATTGCATGTTCTTGTATATTGTACCATGCTATCTGAGTATGCTATACTAACATGCACCCTAAACCCTAACCCCCTAAACCCCTAAACCCGAAAGAAACCCTAAACCCTAAACCCCCAAACCCTAAACTTTCTGTCTCGGTCTTTCCCTGAACCCTAATTACCAAATCCTCAGCGACTGAATCGGCGTCTGGCGGCTCTTCGAGGAAAATCTCGTTGAATCGCCGCGACTCCTCGAAACAAAGGCTCTAATCTTACCTTTGGTTAGTAGGGAATGGAAGAATGGTAGTACTTGAAGGATCATGGGACTTAGTAAGTAGGTTATAATTGGGGTTATAAGTCCCCTAAGTGGGGTTATCCTAATTATAACCTAGTTATAACCTTACTTACTAAGTCCCATGAGCCTTTAAGTAATGGGCTCCTTTAAGGGAATCCTTTAAGGTATCTATAGGGTTTAGGGTTTAGGGGTCTAATTAGGGTTTACCTTTGGTTAGTAGGGAATGGAAGAAGGGTAGTAATAGTAGTAATAATTATACCCCATTCCTCCATTCCTTACTAACCAAAGGTAAGTAATCCCCACATCCGCGACAGTTGGAGGTTCAGCAAGTTTAGGGGTTTGGGATTCAGGGTTTAAGGTTTGGGGTTTACGGGTCTGGGGTTTAGGGGTCGATTAGGGCTTAACAACCCATGCCAGATCTTTCGGATTGGACTATCTGATGATCAGAAGCTCATTAATCCTGTGGCAGCTATTATGGGGTTGGCTTAGTTTCAGGCTTGGGGTTTGGATTCTGGGTGTGCTTCAGGTACTCTTACGAACTGAAAAGTGCGAGTTTAGGGGCGCGCCTGATCTAGCTGAGACGCACTGGCTAGGTGAAGCCGACGACACTTTGGACCGACAGCAGCAATGTGTCCAAACACGAAACCCCTTAAGCTCCACGAACGTAGACGTTTGCCATCAGTGTTCCCATCATCGTCATCGTCGTCATCAAGGTAATATAGGGGCCTCAGGAATTAGAATGAATAGGGTTTGGGGGTCTCTTATGCTGTAGCCATGACAAGGAACCCCGCAAAAAAAACAAATGTATTGGCAATTGTTTAGGCCACTATATATATATATATATATATATCAGGAACAGCCTGGTCATCCATGACCACGGTAGCTGCTCTCATCGGCGATGGTGGTTTTGATTGTAATACTCTTTAAACTTAGCCATCCCAAACCCCAAACAATGCAACCTATGCACCCCAACCGCAAACCCCAAACCCTAAATTCTTGTATCAAAAGGCCATCGCCGAGTCGGTGCGCTTGCGACGGGCAGTGCGGGCTGCATGGTAGGACAGCTTCCTAGGCTAAGGGCTGGGGCTTTGGGCTTAGGGTTCGGGATTTGACATTTTTAGGTTTCAGGGTTTGGCTTGGGGTTAATAGGGTTTATGAAACTTCGATGAGGGTTGCAGCGGTTGGGAGTTTAAGCTCGCAGGTGTGCAGACAAGGGTTTGCAGCATTGCAAGTAAGACTCAGGACTGTGGGTCTTACACGCTTGAATTAGGGCTTAAAGTTCAAGATCGTGTGAACAAAGGGGTTGTCAGGATCTGTTTGGAATTTGGAAGGCTCCCTGGTGGTGCATCGTGATGGTATACCTAGAGGCTCCATAGTAGTTCTTTTTCGGGTCCATATTTAGAATCCTATGAGGGAATACCAAAAAGGAGCTACTACGGAGCCTATGGGTACTTATATCAGGACGACACTTCCTATACAATCGGAATGGTACCTACGTTTGGAACAATCCGTGTCCGCGGGCGTGTTCACATCGGTGCCTCAATCCTAAAGGCAAACGAGTTCAGGACCTGAGTCTACCAAAGTTGTGCGCTTCCGACAAACCTAAACCCAAAGCCCTGCTGTATATAGTAGAAGCCAGAAAATTGGAACAATTTTTAGCCTCATGCCCTTACAGTAAGGTATAGGGAATCCCAGCATGAATCCTCCTGAATCTATGTTCCAACTTTCTGGGGTTCACATAGGGTTCGGGGCTGCTAGCAAGTTGCCATGGGCCACGCAAGTCCAGAATGTGTTTGTGCACGAGGGCGAATTTATGCGTCTCCTTGCTCGGGCTGTGAAAGGCTTCCTACAGGCGCTCCTAAAGGGAACTCCAGAAAGTTGGAATATGGTTTCAGGGTAGGATACCTTGCAATTTACCATAAAGGGCTTAGGATAATCATATTCCAACTTTCTGGCTTTTACTTTATGATTAGGGGCCTTCACAAGGCTCTCATAAAGGGCTCGTTTTTTTTTTCACGGCTTCTTTCGATGGATTGAAATTAATCTAACATAAGCTTGTATATAAGAAACACGGAACTGCAGTTACTGTACTTCCAAAGCCCGACTCTGATGAAGGTGGGCCGCGGTTCAGGTTTTCTGTTGAGTGTTGGGGGGCTTGGGTCTGGGGCCCTGGGCCGGTAAACATCGAAACCACAAACATAAAGTAACAGCCGCTTCATTCAGTTTGGTTGGAGGCTGGGATCTATCGTTTCTGTTGTTGGGCTTTCCCGCGACGATTCCAATGACGTCTGGGTGTGCTGAATACTAAAAGCAATGCAAGCCCGGTGGCTTCTGGACCTGTAACTCCAAGGGTAAAAGGAGGGACCCTTAATAGGGACCCTTAAGTATATACCCTTAATATACCTATTATATACCCATTATATAGCCCATGAGAGGGTAGGGGTCCCCATTAAGGGTCCCTCCTATTCCCCTTTGAGTAACCCTGTAACCCTACTTGCGCAGGTTACTTCAATAAGTTTGAAAACGCCGCCTGTAGGCATGACACAACAAGCCCTACAAACACATGCAAAGCATACCCGTTGTGTTAATATGCTTGTGTACCTCAACACTGAAAACCGTAAGGCTTAAGCCACCAAGCTCTCACCTCCCGACCCGAGCCCCTACCCCCCCCCCTCCACCCTTCCGTCCCACCGTTTTGCACTCTGCATCCCCAACCCCTAACTGCTACAAATCAATATGGGAGTTTCCGAAAATTGGGGGTATTTAGGGTACTATATTATATTAAGGTCCCCTATTTTCGGAAACTCCCATATCGCTAAATCAGCTCAAAAAAAACCAACGTCCCCATTGTTCTATCCTGTACTTGTAGCACATTCTTAACCGGCGCTGTCGCTGTACCCATGTATGTATATAGCACAAACACAATTTCAAGCACAACATACTCCAAACCTAAACCCTAAACCCTAAATCGAGGGTTTAGGGTTCTCTAAACCCTAAATCGAGGGTTTAGGGTTCCCTAAACCCTAAATCGAGGGTTTAGGGTTCCCTAAACCCTAAATCGAGGGTTTAGGGTTTAGCTCAAACATAACTCCGGCCTCTTCCTCCGTCACGCCCGCCTCCTCGCGTTCGAGGAGTCCGGAGCTCAAAGCGCCCTTGGAGCAAATGATACAGTACGGTTGATGATAAACATCCTGGGGTTCCCTTAAAGGGATCTATAAGGGTACCTTTAAAGGGCTCCTTTAAGGGATCTATAGGCGGGTTTAGGGTTTAGGGGTTAGGGTTGTTGATGATATACATCCTGCATTACCTTAAGGACCCTAAACTATGGGAATTATGGTATATTCCTTGTTATGGGTGTATACCTAGAGGCTCCATAGTAGTTCCTTTTTGGGGTTCATATATAGAATCCAAGAAGGTAATCCCAAAAAGGAACTGCCATGGAGCCTCTGGGTATACAGTAGAAGCCAGAAAGGTGGAAAATGGCTTTAGGAGGATTATAGTACTAGGATCCCCTATATAAATTACCTTGAGGCCATGAGGATAATGATGTTCCAACTTTCTGGCTTCTAAAATAAAGTTTCTGTGATAGGGTTGAGGGTTTCTTGGACCCCGCAGCTACCCTCGAATATACCCTACTGTAACCACCCACTATTAAGGACCATAAGGGCTCTATTAAAGGGTCCTTATAGGATTTTTGTTGTGGTCTGTACTGCATTGGGGCTTTGGCAGTGGTTCGAGAGTTCGAGGCGGGCTTTGAGAAACCGATGTTCGAGGGAGGCAAGAGGCTTCCAAGAGTGGTTAACCCAAAGGATCCAAGTATCATTATGGTATATACTTAGAGGGTGTGTTGGGGCGGTCTAAGTATATACCATAATGATACTTGGACCCTTTGGGTATTGGAAGTCTTCAGATTTGCTTTGGGGTCTGGGGTGTTTTCCGATTCGATTTTGGGAGGGAACAGCAAGCGCGGTTAAACATCCATTCCTGGAAGATTTGTATGACGTGACTTCGCAACCCAGAAATCTGGTTAACAGATCCATTCTTTGTAGAGGATTTCTGCAATGGAGTCCAGGGTTTAAGCCATAGTGTTTAGAGTTTAAGCCCCAGGGTTCAACGGAAGTAAACTGGCTTCGGAAACGATCCTAATGTTATAAGTTATGGGAATCTTGGGTGGGTGGTGTGAATTCCGATTCCGGAGAAGTGAGCTCGACTAGAGACTGCTCGAACTTGAGCCGCACAACCTTGAACTCTAAACCCAAGCCTTAAACCCTGAACCCCTATCTGGGTGGTTTGTCAAAATTAGGGTCTCTTGATTGGATCCTTAACATAATACGGCACCTATTATTTAGGGAACCCAAACAGGGACCATGATTAAAAAAAATTGACAACTGCCCACATAACACCCCTGAACCCTGGGCTTTCCCAGCCAAAGGCTCCCATCGCTCGAGTGGAGTTGCTGTTGGGGCTGAGACGAACTGAGGAACGATGGCGGTCACGTCTGCCTTAAAGGGAACTCCAGAAAGTTGGAATATGGATTAATGGTGGGATCCCCTATAATTTACCTTAAAGGGGGTACGATAATGATATTCCAACTTTCTGGCTTCTACTGTACTTCATCGTTGAGGCCTTTAGGTTGCAAGGTCTAGGGTCTCGTGGTGGATTTTTAGGGATTGGGAGTTAGGGTCTAGGGTACACCAAAGCCTACAAACCCTTAGCCTTGACAGTTCCTTGGTTCGAACCCGGAGGGTTGGCCATTAAACGGCAGCTCACCCTGACTGAAGCTCCAGTGGCAAACGACCCTAAACCCGAAACCTTAAACCCCAAACCGGCACCCTACTTGTCCAACATCCCAGGCAACTTGAGGTTATCCCGCGGGATATATACGTCTAAAAGTAGCTCAAAAAGCGAAAGGTTACATACCCTACTACCCATAGGCCCCAAAGTAGTTCCTTTTTGGGATTGCATTATTATTAGTAGGATTCCAAACATGAACCCCAAAAAGGAACTACTTTGGGGCCTTCCTATAGCCGGAAAGACCTACCTTTTTGGGGTTCCTTATTATGGTTTCCATATATGGTTCCTTAAAAAGGTAGGTCCTTTCGGCTACAGGTTGCCCTGAACCCTAAACCCTAAACCGTGTGGGGTAAAGCACTGCAGGCTAGTGGCAACTTCATCCTTGAAAGGGTCCGGCTGGGCCGGATCTTCCTGGGCCAGGGCTGCTGGGCCTAAGTTTTGGGGTTTAGAGCTTAAGTTTTGGGGTTTAGAGCTTAAGTTTTGGGGTTTAGAGCTTAAGTTTTGGGGTTTAGAGCTTAAGTTTTGGGGTTTAGAGCTTAAGTTTTGGGGTTTAGAGCTTACAGCTTAAGGCGCGTTGCTTTGAGTTTAGGGTTTAGACGGGTTGGGGTGTAGGCTTATTACCTTCAAAGGTTCTGTAAGGTCGCGTTTTCTGTGGGCCTGGCAAGGGGAAGGATGCAAAATTTCCGGGTGTCTTATACTGCTTACAGTGTGGCTTGGGGCTTCGTTTTTGATCCTTTACTTCTGTTCTGAACCTCCCATTTAGAGAAGTGTGTGGGTATAAGGCTTCGCTTGCATTTGGGAGGACAACGACATAAAGCCTGCAAGGCCATAGGGCGTAAGGCTTTGGGTTCCGCAAATGTCACGACCCAAGACATGCCCACGCAATGAAACAATCCTATCTTCAAGCGTCTTATAGGGCCTCGTGGTGACATAGGAATCAGCAGAGCAAGCATTCAAAGACAAAAACAAAAAGTAGGGCTGCGGGCGTCATCATCGTCGCTCTCGCCCCTATGCGCTGATTCAATTGCTCTCTCAAGAAGGTTGTATGACACAGCGCAAGGTTCTGCAAAAGGAACACGTCTTCAGAACAAGACGGTTACCATAGGGGCCTGAATAAGTAGAATAGGGTTTGGGGGCCCAGTATACTCGAATTATAAAAAGGAACTCCCCCAAAATAGTATTGGTAACTATTTAGGCCCCTATATTAAAGCTTCCAAGCAGAACCCAAAGGGTCCTATGTACTGTTAAGTTATGGGGGGGGGGGGGGGAAACTTCCCTAAGTCGTAATACAAACTCCTAATATGGAAACCCTACATTCCACTATATCGGTACATAGGACCCTTCTTGGGGGGTCAGGGGACTTAGTAAGTAGTTAGTAAGTAGACTTATAAGGACCCTAAAAGGGAGCCTAACTGGGGTTATGGTACCTATAAGTCCCTAAAATAACCAGTTACTAAGTCCCCCGACCCTCCAAGTTTGGGGAACTGCCATCCGAGCCTCTTCCCTTTCTGTGAGACTTTGCAGCCTCCCTCTCCCGGCGTGGTCCGCATGGGGCATTCCGTGACCTCAAAGTCGCGTTCCGAGGCTTTCGGCTTTCACTCGGGTTTCCGGTTCCTTTAAGGGATCTAGAGGGTTAGGGCTTAGTGTTTCGTGTTTAGGGGTTTAGGGGTTTAGGGTTTAGGGTTTAGGGTTTCGGGTTTAGGATTTAGGGTTTAGGGCTTAGGATTTAGAGTTTAGGGTTTAGGATTTAGAGTTTAGGGTTTAGGATTTAGAGTTTAGGGTTTAGGGTTTCCGGTTGAAGGGGTTGAGGACTGCAGCTGCTGGCTCCAGCTCTTTTCGCGCCGCGGCGCCTCTACTTTGTGTGGCAGGCAGTGTTGAGGTACCTATAGTCTCCGTTGTAGTTCCTTTTTTGGTTAACCAGTTTTATGGTGAGGATCCTATAATGTAGTTTGGGGTTAACCAAAAAGAGGAACTACAATGGAGACTACAGCTAGTGTCGAAGGCAACGATTCTCTCTTCAGGCCGTTTTGGGTCAAAGGCTCTAATCCCTAAACCCTCCAGACCTTCCAAAATCCCCTAATTAAATTAAGGAATATACCTTAAATTATAATAGGGTCCCTAATATGAATTGAGGTATAAGGTGTTAATTAAGGGGTTTTGGAAGGTCTGGGAGGCCTTCCAGACCCTGAAAGGTTCAAAGGAAGGGGACCGCGAGGAGGCCCGGCTCGGATTTGAAGATGCTGCCTAAATCGAACGGCCTTTAGGGTACGCTTTTTGCGCGTGTAAGTACACGAAGAGACCCTGCCAAATAGTATTACAGAGCAGTTGTAATCACAGGCTCATGGCACCTGTGCCAATCAATGCCACACGAATGTCATGCAGTGCTTGCCTTGTAAATGACACTTATGCAGCTACTGAAAGCACCGAAGACCGGTACCCAAAAACCTGCACTAGGGTTTAGGGTTGGGGGGTTTAGGGTTGAGGTGCCTTACGGCGAACCGCAAACCTCTGAATCCTACATCTACTCTTCAATACAGGTCCCAATTCTGGCGCCCTAAGCAAGAATCCGCTGAACCCTTTCATGACACCATTGCAAACACACTTAAAGCCCACCTGAACCCTACTGTACCTAGAGGTTCATACCCTACCCCTTTTTTAGGATACCCAGCTTTATCGTTAGGGTCTGTTGTATGGGAAAGTAGATACCAACACCCCCAAAAAGGGTAGAGTATGAGCCGGTAAACCCTAAACCCTACGCCCTTAAACCCCTCAACCCCTTCAGCCCTAAACCCTAAACCGCTAAACCCTAAACCCACGTGAACCCTCAAGCCAAGCGAGGAGCGATCGGCCACTTGCAGGTGCTTCTCCATCAGCCGTTCCCGTAAGGTGGCCAGCTCTGCCTGGTTTCGGGTTTCGGGTTTAAGGGTTGAGGGTTTAGGGGTTTAGGGGTTTAGGCGTTTAGGGGTTTAGGGTTTAGGGCTTAGGGCTTCAGGGCTTTAGGGGTTCAGGGTTTAAGTTGCGTAAGGGCTTAGGGTGACAAGGATTCGGGGTTAAGGCTCAGGGTGGAGAGCTTCGGGCTTGTTGAATTTCAGTTAGAGCTTCGTCCCTAAGACTCCATGTGCCCAAACTGTAGGTACTTTGGCCTTAAAGGGGTCCATATATCAGCACTTTAAGGCCTAAATACCTACTATATTCTATATGGGTACATGGAGACTTTGGCTTGCCGTATTGGGTTATGTGGCTCAATAGGACTGGGGCTCAGGGCTAGGTGGCAGGGTGGCTATGTTTCAGAGTGACCCGGCCAGTTGTAGAGTTTAGGGTTCTGGAATTTACGGCCACATGGGGTTCTAGTAGGATGTAGGGTCGAGCATAGTACCCTAAATAGTAGGATCCTTATTATAAGGACCCCAAATTGAGGTATCCCCCAATGTTCGGAAACTCCCATATAGCTACGACCTCATCCTGGTGAGGCTCCCAGAGGATCTATACATATTCTCACCATGGAAGCAGGGTTTGCTTTTTTCAGTGATTGGGAAGAAGGCTTCTAGGGTTTGAGGGTTGGGGTTGAAGGATAATGTAGGAACCTGATTATGAAACCTTGGGGGCCTTTACTAGGGCTCCTTATAAAAACCCTACTATTTTGAGGTTACAGGCCCAGGGTTTCTTAATCAGGTTCCTACATTACTTTAGTATCCCTTATAGATCCCTTATAGTAACCCTTATGGACCCCTTTAAAGGAGCCCTAAGAATAAAGGCCCAGGGTTTCTTAATGAGGTTCCCACCTTACTCAGATGCCGAACTTGACTCGCCTTTCGAGTTCACTGCTTACCGATGTCAGGCCCACGGGCCCCATGTACCCACATGGGTGCTTGTCAAAATTAAGGTCCCTTTGTGGGTCCTTATAATACGGAACCTAATATTTAGGGTACCCAAAGAGGGACCCTAATTTTGAGAACTACCTATACAGTAGGTACGTAGGCAGTAAAGTTCCGATATAGGAACCCCTTTAAGGCCTAAGTACTTACTACATGGGTGCATGGAGTCTTATAGAAGGGGAAGTAGTGCTGGTCCCCGCGCCATGGATCGTAAGTATGGCTGGGATAGCGCGTGCTCTTGCAGGAGATCATTCAAGTTGGATTCGTGCACTATACAAAGCCTGTCCACCATGGTAAAATAGAAGCTTGTATGATTAGTGAAAACACACACCCCTAATGCCCCAGGAGCATACCATGACACACCCCAACACCCTGTTGTGATCATTGTGGCAGCTGCGGAAGTGAAGCTCCATAGTTGCCTAGTTCCAACAACCCTGCAGAGCAACAAAGCGGTCAACGTTACTTATGCCTTAAGCCCTTACAGCACCCTAAACCTTAAGCCTCACATCCCAAACCCAAAACTTCCCCTGGGCCCCCACACCCTAACTCCAAAACCTAAATAAAAACAGCCCTATGCCCTGGGGTCCTGAAGCCCTTACAGTACCCTAAACAGCTCGCTAAAACTTAACCCCCAAACCCTAAACCCTAAAACCAAGCCAAACATATTCCTAGGTGCATTCAGGAAGTCTTCATACTCCTTGCTGCCATACGCCGACTCCGGCTCCTCCTGGAAGGGATCTTTAAGGGTCCCTTGAAGGGCTCTACAAGGGTTCCTTGCAGGGCTCTATAAGATTCCTTCAAGGGCTCTGTAAGGGTTCCTGAAAGGGTTAAGAATCTAGGGTTCCGTAAGGCTTCTGGAAAAAGCAGGTCTTTCAAAATTCTAGGGTTCTACAAGAGTCTAGCCAGACCATTCCTGTCCAGAGTTTAAGATTGGTTTAAGGTTTCAGGCTACAGGGCTAGGGTTGTAGATATTGGGATTTCGGGCTATTGGTTTTAGCTGTTGTCGTTGCTGCTGCTACACGATTTTTACAGGGCTGTGAAGCTGCAGGCTGTTAGGGTGAAGAGCTATAGTGCTACATGGCTTAGTAAGTCAGTATGTTGTAGCTTGAGGCTGGCGCGAGCAGGTTGGTTGTTAAGACGGACATCGCAAGCCCACACTAGCCTGTCAAAGCCACAACACAAAAGCATAGCCAGCCAAGTACTTCCGGAAACCCACAAAAACCGTCTAAACTTAAACCTCCTCATACCCATGAGCAAACCATTCCCAAACCAAAACGGCCGAAATCCTCAAACCCTGAAGCCTGAGTCGAGCCCCCGAACCCGACACAAGGCCCTTGAAGCAACAAGTGCCTGGGAACTCCACCTGTGTGTTCAGTCCATGAAGGAGCTTCCCAGAAGCTTCCATAGAGAAGCTCTGGGCCGAAGCACATACTCTGTGTATGTATGTATGTATGTATGTATATCACAATATCTACACACACACATACATTTCTATCCTGCACATATGTCTGTATGAACGACATGTATGTATATCTATAGACATAAGCACACACACACACCTATATAGTTACATATATATATATATATATAGATAGATATACATATATACATGTAAGGACATGTATATACATATGTATGTAGGATGTGTATTACATATTTATATATATATATATATATATACACACACACATATACATCCGTGTGTGTGTGTGTGTGCGTGTGTATGTAAGTGTTTGCATGTATAGCAAGTATATACTTGCCGCATGAAAAACAACTGTGCGTGTCTGTGAAGCCGCGTATTCATGTGCACGTCCACCTAACTGACCTAATGAGACAACAAACACAACACACTCTGATAAACAAACACAAAAAGAAAACAAGCAACGCACACATGCAAACCAAACACATTGAAAGGAACACGAACAACCAATCGACCAAACAAACAGACAGACAAACAGACAGACAAACAGACAAGCAGGCAAGCAAATATATACACACACACACCCACAAGAACACTCACAACCACAACCACATACATCCAGTGAGACAACACGACATAAGCAACACACGCAAGACAACATACACCAACCTGTAAGCAGCAACAACAGCAGCAACAGTAGCAACAACAACAACAACAAGAAGAACAGCAGCAGGAGCAGCAACAAAGCAACAACAGCAACAACAGCAACAACAGCAGCAGCAACAGCAGCAGCAACAGCAGCAGCAGAATCAGCAACAGCAACACACAGAAACAGCAAGAGCAACAGCAGCAGCAACGGCAACACTACTGAACACACGAGACACGGGCGGCTAACACACAGTCACACGACCAAAGGAACGAACTAAAGCGCAAATAACCGACCAACCAACCAAGGGAACGAACCCCAAAAAGTACATGAACACACAAACAACGGAATACACAATTACTCACAATACACAAGCACACACCAGCACGCACACGAACAGACACAAACAAGAGAGCGAACCAACGTACAAAGTGCACACGTGCACAAACACACAAACTCAGAAAATGTAAACGAAAAGTCAAAAATACGAACAAGCAAACGCACACAAGCAAACAAGCAACAAGCAAGGATGCAGTGAGCGAGTGATTGAGTGAGTGGGAGGGGATGCGGTATTCATTCATTCCTTCGTTGGCTGACTGTGGATAAATAGATAGGTTCCTGGCGCGGTCCGTAGGTAGGTAAGTAGTGGATAGACAGATAGACAGATAGATGCTTAGATAGAGACCCGGACCCCAGGTGGGTCCTGAGCAGGAGCAGGCGGTCCGAAGTGGCAGCTGGCAAATGGCATCATGTCGCAACACACGTCTATCTCCGCTCGCGGAGAGTGCTAAAAGCGAACGATTCAGGGTTTGGGGTTTAAACTTTCGGGTTGGAGGGTTTAGATCTTAAGTTTGTGGTTTCGTCGGATGTACGGAAGCCACTGAACCCTTAATGCCACAGACTGAGCCATCGAGGTCTATTTCACGACGACGCAATCCGGAACAGCAGCTTTCTCTATGCTTTGCTCTGCTCCTTTGCTGCTTTCACTGGGCCTAAAAAATGCTCATGGGGTCCTGGCAACATAGGTGCAACATTGGGAAACCTTACATCTTGATTCAGGTTTCTCTGCTCTGAATGCTTTGGGACAACTGGACCAGGGTTTCCAGACCAGGTTCCTGGACTTCCTAGCAGCACCACTGAACAAGCCCAGGCGTTAAAATAGGGGCATTAGTCCGGACACGGTATGGCGGTGTGTGTGTGTGTATATATATATGTTGTACTGTGGATACTCTGTCTTGCATAATAACAAGGAGCTCTGGGGAACAATATGAGAAATCCATTCGCGCACTGTCTCTGTATATTGGGCTTTATGGCTGAGGTAAATATTAGGTATAACTGCTGCATTCTGGATTTGGGGTTGCGGCCTTATTGGGCTTCTTTATCTTTCAACCCTTAACCCTAAACACCCTAAACCCTAAGGAAAACCTCAGCGACACTGATGCAGAGGCCTAAAAGCCGTGAAGCCCCAATCCGAATTCTACACCTTACTTGGAGGGTCGGGGGACTTACTAACTGGTTATTTTTGGGACTTATAAGTACCATAACCCCAATCAGGGTCCCTTTAAGTGGGTACTTATAAGTCTACTTACTAACTACTTACCAAGTCCCCTGACCCCCCAAGTAAACCCCGAGTCCTGAACCCCACCCGCCAATCGCAACAAACACAACTAGACCTTGCTCTTCTCTGGATTGCGTACACATGTGTATGCACAGAGCTTTTTCGGTGTCTAAAGAGATGAGCGTACAGTTATTAAGCATAAAATGTGTTTGGCATACTTCAAAGCTTTGTTATGTTTTACTTCTGGAAGTACTTTGCATGACTATTGAAAGGTAGAAAAGCATCACAGAGCAGAGGCTGCTTCGTCCCGGTTCATCGTGTACTGTAGTCACACATTCACAAGACCCTAAACTCTAAATCCCCACGTCCAACAGTCTGAAGCCTAAAACAACATTGAGGCCCGAAGCTACACGGGGGGAGGCGGTCAAGACTCAAGACACTAAAGGGCTTCTTTTGATGCTTTATTGACCTGTATGTTCAAAAACTCAAGGTTTTGCTCAGACGCAAACCGTATGCGAGGCAGAGACAGAGGCCAAACTTGCTTCTGCCGGATGCTTCCTTTCTGCCAAGAGTTGGTAGTTGTAGTGAAGCCCCACACCACACCCAAATCATCGGCCCTGAACTGCAGACGCTGAATCCAAAGTACCACACACCTACACCATGAGCACCGCTCAACCCAACATCACCAAAAAAAGTCCGGCATGTTCTCGAAACTAAACCCGAACCCAAAGCCCCATCAAATGAGAACTGTAAAGCCGCACATGCTGGGAAAGCCCGAAACCTCCGAAAAAGTTGCAAAGCCTGCAGGACTATAGGGTCCCTTTTTGGGAACCCCAAATAATATGTGCCGTATTATAATAGGGACCCAAAAAGGGACCCCAATTTTGAACCCGAGTGTTTCCTGGCCCCTTGGTCTCCGGCTGCCTGCTTCTGCATGCATTGCGTCGATCTGAATCATTCGTCAGAGTAGCGGTTCCCAGAGAACCCAATACCCGTTAATTAAGGAATATACCTTAAACTATAGAGGCCTTAAGATAATGATGTAAAGCATATTCCTTAAATAAGGGGTATTGGGATCTCTGGGTTCAGTGGTTTGGGGGGGTTGCTAGTGACCTAGGAATACAAAGTGCCACCTTTTTGGGGGTTGGACTGTCTGGTAAGGAACCTCGGACCCCAAAAGGGAAAGCGGGCCCACTCGGAGGCCTAGACGACACAAAACTGATACAAACAGTCCCATGATGAATATGTTTATATGTATATATATATATATAAATATATATAAATATATGTATATATATATACACACACATATTTGCTCAGGTCATACCATGGCAGAGCAGAAACCCAAACGGTGACAAAGCACAACGACGACAACGACAATTCTACAGCGGCTGCTTGGGTGGTGATTATGGACGGACGGAGCAACGAGGTTGAGACAGCTGGACAGATTTGCCGGGCCATTGCGCGACACGCATTGCGCTTCAACCAGCAGTTTCAAGGACCCAAAGGGTCCAAAGTACGTTACTGGTAGAATGCAGGGTTCCTATGTTGTACATGAATTACTATCATGATTGGGGGAGGTATCCCCCACAACAGTACTTTGGACCCTTTGGTGGAGGAGGCTGCAGAACTTCCCTGCAACACGTCCGACCATCAAACAGCAATAGAGGCATATCATATCGAATGGGACTGAGGCTTGGGGCACAACTTGCTGCGCGCATAAAGAAGCCCTTTAGCAGTACCAGAACGATGACATTTCTGAAAGCCCAAGTCGTCAAGAAACGGCCACCAGGAACCCTTGACAATTGCCGGCCCGAGCCGCGTGTCAAGTCATCTCACGGTTTAGGGTTTACCTATGGTCTCCATCGTAGTTCCTGCTTTTGGATAACCAGTTTTATGGTAAGGATCCCATAATATAGTTTTTGGTAAAGCAAAAAAGGAACTACAATGAAGACTATAGGTAGGGTTTACGAAGATGAACAGAAGCTTGCTTCCCTGCTTTGTCAGGGCCTATCCATGCTTGACTTCTGCTGGGCGAGGCCAGGTGGGTTAGGGTTTAGGGTTTAGGTGTTAGGGTTTAGGGCACGAGACAAAGCACATGGACTCCCGAAGCCAACTCCGCAAACTCTCGGCCGGTAGCGCCGTAGCAGCCCTGATATGGCCAATTGACCACTACGAGCGAAACACGACTGATCCGTAGCGCCAGCTAGTGGATTTTTTGTCATGAGTGCGGCAGACAATAGTACCTATAGTCTCCATTGTAGTTCCTTCTTTTGGATAACCAGTCTTATGGTTAGGATCCCATAATATAGTTTTTGGTTAACCAAAAAAAGGAACTACAATGGGTACTATAGGTAAGGCATTTTAGGAATGTACCTTAAATTAGAGGGGTGGTAATATTATGTTTTAAGGTATAGTCTTTAATTAAGCGGTATTGGCATCTCTGGGATAGGTATGGTCAGAGCAGCCGTCCTTGATCAGAGCTCCGGCTACCTCCTGGCGCTTTTGATCATCTCGAGACCTAGAAACAAATCCTTGCCGATCACGACAGAAACCCCGAAACACTCAACGTAGCATTCTTTGCATTCTTACCGGAAAGCCGTAACCTTACAGATTTCGGGAAAAAACAACCATGCTAATACACCGGAATCAAGCAAACAGCGAGCCTCATGTCAGTGGCTTCCAGCCTGTCGCTTCGCACCAGTTGGATGGCATGGGGGGTATTATCTGGGAGTTTCCGAAAACTAGGGGGTACCTTCTTTTGGGGTCCTTATAATAAGGGTCCGACTATTTAGAGTACTAAATTAGGGTCCCCTATTTTCGGAACCCCCCATCTAGGGAACCCAAGGCCTCAAGCGGATGTCGGATCCCTAAACCCTAAACCGGTTTAGGGTTTAGGGTTTAGGGGTGGCGCAGCTGGTGGAGCTCGAAGCTCGGACTTCGGGGAGTTTACGGGGTTTACCCAAAGGCCCCAAAGTAGTTCCTTTTCGGGGTTCATATATAGAATCCTATAGGGTAATCCCAAAAAGGAACTACTTTGAGGACTCTAGGTAGTTTATAAGCCCCAAGGGTCCATGTACGCAAATAGGACATACTTTGGCCTTAAAGTAGTCCCTATATAGGTACTTTGGGGCCAAAGTATATACTATTTAGGTACATGGACCCTTAGGGAAGGGGATACCGGTTTAGAGTTCGTGAGCTTTGCATCCGTTGTTACTCCTGTAGCTGCCCACATTATGATATTCGGGGATAGAACATCTGTTGCGCTGCCTTGGAAACGAGGGGTTTGCTGTGTCAACGGATAGTGGTGGGTTCGGAATGCGGGGTAGTGTAGGACCGCAGGAAACCATGCTGCTTTCGAGGGAACCAGAAACCACCATAAACGTGCATCAACCGTGACTTGTAGATCCCGTACCCCTTCATTGCCTTTACCCAGACAGCGAGAACATGAAAAAATGCTCTGCGATACCGCAATACATGTTGAAGCTGGCACTTCCTCACCTTAAGTCCCAAACCGGAGAACCAGATGCCAGCCTGGATTTCAGCTGCGCCACGACGGTGTTCAAGCGGTTGATCTCCTTCAACAGCCAGGACCAGGCTTGCAACCCTGCATGAAGTCCTAACGCCTAAAGCCATCCGAAAACCAGGATGATCCAGTGAAGCTTGGACAGGAAACCTCTGATACTTTGGGCTCCATTAAACTTTAGCTTGCCCTCTTGTTCCTTCTGCGGGTATCTATACCTGTATAAGCCTATATCTGTGGCTACACATATGGGTGGTTGTCGAAACTATGGTCCCGTTTTGGGTGCCTATTATAATACGGCACCTATTATTTAGGGTACTCGAACAGGGACCTTGTTTTGACAACTACCCATATAAGTATGATGCGATATGATATGATATGATATGATATGATATACCTTCGATTTTTATGAATATGTATATACATGCATGTATGTGACTTTCCGGTCTGATGTATGTATCTGTCTGTCTCTGTGTCTGGCTAGCTGGCTTTCTGCCTGCCTGGTTGCCTGGTTGCCTGGTTGCCTGGTTGCCTGGTTGCCTGGTTGCCTGGTTGCCTGGTTGCCTCGTTGCCTGGCTGGCTGGCTGGCTGGCTGGCTGGCTGGCTGGCTGTCTCTGTCTCTGTGTCTGTCTCTCTATGTGTCTATCTCTGTCTGTCAATCTCTGTCTCT